CCCCAAAACCCCAAAACCCCATGATGATGCTGATTTTAGCATCGATTTAGCTGTGACAATATAAATTAAATTCTAAAAGTCTAATATGGTAAGATTTTAATCATTTATGAGCACACTTGTTAATTGTTCTATAGTCAAAGCAATTAATTCACTTCTAGCCAGAGCATTAAGAACTGCTGAAGAAGTACTTAAATTTCTTCAGTCTCAAGAAGGAATAATGCAATAAGCAGATCTAATTGGCAATAGAAGACGTCGAGGAGGATTGGTAATGTTATCAGAAGAATTAAATCAACTTATTATAGTCTTAAATCAGCATTCTTTACCAAGAGTGATGTGTAAAGCACCTTTGATAATTTGAAGGAAGAGATGTATTCTACAGTCAAACAAGAGCTTGAGATGTTCTATAGAATGTCTGGTAATAATTTATCTGAATAATTCTTTATTGCTAGGAGTTTTTATTCAAATGATGATGCATGATGCTGAATAATAAAATTCTACTTTGAAGGCTGATGTGAACTATATGGAAAATTACAAAGCCTTAGAAGACATAAAGGACTTTGAAAACCTTTAACTTGCATCAAGTGGATTCTCTCTTTAAAAGAAGGCGACTATCACTTCAAAGCTGCCTACTTTAGGAACAGCTTTTGTCGATCCTAATATCGCTAATGAAAATTAAGCTTTGAAACAGGAAAATGAGAACTTCAAGAGAATGATCAAGGAACTATAAGCCAAATTAACGAATGCCTTATAAAGTAGAAGTTAAGCCTCAGAGTAAATAGATACTCACAAAGAATAATCAAATTATTAAGTGATAGAACTAGAGAATTAACTTATATTAGCAGAGGAAGAAAAAAGTCAAGCGAAGGAGCAAGCAGAAAATCTTAGACAGGAACTATTTAATGTCAAAGATGAACTTAAGAAAAAGGTCAATCAACTTACACAAGTCACAAACATGAAGAAAATGATTCAAGATAAAAATTCAAAGATTAAAACATTAAGAGATAGACTGGGCAAGTACGAGAGTGTGGACGAAGATGATGAATGAGTCATGCTAAATCAACAAGATAGTCTGATAGTTTAGTGTTTATTACAAGTAAAATCTATTTAAAACATTAACTCTTTGCTCAATTCAAGTCCTATACCCAACAGAAAGTTAATTATCATTTCATTTATAGCAATCATGTCATTGTAACCATGCACTAGTTCCTTTCAAATCTGAATCTCATCTTCTAAAGCATCTAATGTGGAATCAGTGACCTTATTGGAAGTGACGTCTTGGTTGTTTCCACTAGAATTAATAGTGCTTAATTCTTAACCCTCTTCGTCATCTCTTATCGCTCTCTCACCCTTATCATTATAACCTAAATCTCTCATTTGATATGACCATTCGACTCCACTAAATGGTATATTTCTCAAAGATGGAGACAAAATCGCAATTATGGAGTAAGTTCCGAATGTCTTATATAAGTTATCCCTTATACTTTTGAAGTTGTAGTCATATTTTTCAATACCTCTCTATAAGTATTGCATTAATTTTAAGATTGATTACTTTTTAAGAAGACCCCCAGAACTCAATAGTTGAGTAGCCTGTCAAAGCTAAAAACCAATTCCAAGCATTAAAGCCAAATAATACCAGAGTAAGAGCAAAGTCAAGGATAACCACAAAACTCATCATTGATTGATTCTGTCTGTAAATGTGATGGTTCCAAATAGCAACGATTGTGATCATATTATAGATGACTCCAACCATGAGGTAAAGAATAAATAATAGGAAGTATCTATAGTTTTCAAGACCTAAGCAGTTGTTAACCCATGCTATAAGATATGTCAAAGATATCAAGACTTACGACAGTGATGATCCATCAAAAATACACATCTATTGCACACGCTGCAGTGATGAGCTCTTAATGGCTTCACAAAATCACAAGTAGTGCACTTCTTAGTCCATGATTACTCTAACTAGGATATGGTCTTGTTTCTGTATTTGAGTAGTTTCTTGACTTCCTTAGAAATACCCTCAAATCTGTCATCTTCCACATACTTTATTTTCCCATCTTTCTCTACAGTTTTCAGACCTTTTCTAGCTTCTCTCTTCTTCTTCTCTTTTCTCATTTACTCGATTTTCTAATAATTAAGCGAGAGTATTTTTACCTTAAGGTCTTAAGGACTTCCAGGTTTAATAAAAGTAGCAAAAAAGTGGTTGAAAGCAATATTATACACTAGGATCAATCCCATTGCCACCCATATAAGTCCAAACACGACACCTAATCGCTTCTTTAAAACTAGCACTACCACTGTGAAATATGCATGAACATGCAGTCCCAATAGGCCATAGAATCCCAACACAAACAGTGGACCTAAGACTCGAACCCCCAGCCCGAACCCTAACAATTTAATGCTAATATGCATTACCTCCTGCAATAGGACCTGCTGCAAATTCAGCTATCCTCTCTAATAATGATGACATATTTTTAAATATACTACTACTTTATTATAAATGCTTTTATTAATTCACCGAATTTTCCCACTCATTTTATCATGCTGGGGTTTTGGGGTTTTGGGGTTTTGGGGTTTTGGGG